CTCGTAGGAAATCGTGCGATACCCGCGGACGACTCTGACGGCCATCGCCCTCTGCAGTTTGCGCAGAATGGCGAGAGTGCTGGCCGTCATGTCCATCGCCCACACAGGGGCCCCATACAGGGCCATGGACCGCACGATTCCCACGTACAACCGCCTACAGGCGGCGCTCGGGCCCCCCAAGTTGGGAAACAACGTTGAAAGCGCGCCCGCTGCACCCATCAGCTTGGGCGCCAGCCGCCGGTAGGTTATGGAATCCTTAATCAACTGCCAGCTCCTCCGGTACTTGGAAAAACACCAGTTACTTAATGACCGACAATATGGTTTTCGCCGGGGTCGCTTAGCTGATGATCTTCTTGATTATCTAACACACTGCTGGGAATAGGCGATTGAGACTAAGGGAGAGGCTTGTGTGGTAAGCTTGGACATAGCGAAGGCCTTCGATCGGGTGTGGCAAAGGGCGCTTCTCTCGAAGCTGCCTTCCTATGGGCTTTCCGAGAAATTATGTAGGTCGGTCACCAGTTTTCTTGCAGGTATAATTTATTAGGTATTTAGAGGGTAAGGTCAAATTGACCTCGAAGAAGCTCGGTGTGCTGAACAGATCGAGGCAGTATTTCACTCCAGCCCATCGCCTCCAACACTATAAGGCGCAAGTCTGACCGCATATGGAATACTGCTCTAATCTCTTTAGATATGCGGTCTGACTTGCAGGGGCACTACAGTACCAGCTTCTCCCACTGGATCGAATCCAAAGAAGAGCTACTCGAATCGTCGATAGCCAAAAGATTTGCGACCGGTTCGATCCCTTGGCGTTACGTAGAGATGTAGCTGCGCTCTGCATTCTCTATGGTATATGTCATGGAGAGTGTGTGTGTGAATTGTTCGGACTAATACCGGCCGCAACTTTCATTCAACATCGTTCCACACGGCAAAATTTTCATCCTCACCACTTGGATAATTGGCGCTCCACCACTGTGCGCTTTTCATGACAGTTTTTGCCTTGCACTACCAATCTGGGGAACAAGTTATCCGCTGCGGTATTTCCGGACTGATACGAGCTTCAAACCTTCAAGAAAAGAGCGTACTCCTTCAAAGGCTGGCAATGTGCTTGTGAATCCTGAGTTGCAGGCGTTCATGGGCAGTGGTAGTCGCTTTCCATTAGGTGACTCGTCTGCTCGTTTGCCCCCCATTCCATAAAAAAGAATACACCCCCTTCGATGGCCTCCTTGGCCGGAGACGACGGGGAGGACGTGGATAATGTTCCACCCGTCCGGGATTCAGAGCCAGACAGCAAGCCAGACGGGATACCGGCCCAAATGCTAGCCCTAGCCTTCCACCACATGGTAGACCGTCTAAGGGAGGTGTTCGACGCTAGCTTGGCGTCCGGACGCTTTCCTCAGTGCTGGAAGACCGGGAAGCTGGTTCTATTAAGGAAGCCGGGACGGCCTACCTATTCGGTCGTGGCCTACAGGCCCATCGTATTGCTGGACGAGGCGGGTAAATTGTTTGAGAGAATTCTCTGCGAGATTTGCTCCGATCTGTCGGACGTCCAATTTGGTTTTCGAGCCGGGCGTTCGACGATCGACGCTGTGTTGCGCCTCAGGACCGTGATCGACTCAGGGAAGCGTGGAGTGCTTCCCTGATGCCATATCCAATATGCCATTCCAGTTTTGCACCCAACAAAACCTTCCAGCTGCTTTTAAAAGGTAACCTCAAATCACCGCCGAGCATTAGATTTGACAATGTTACTGTAAAAAATAAAACCGCAGTGTGTTATCTAGGATTAGTTTTAGAAAGAAACTTTTCATTTATCGAACATATTAAAATAGTTAATGAAAAGTCTAAAAAGAGTTTCTGTGCATTGACAAGGATATCAACTGCGACATGGGGTCTATCATTTAATACATTAAAGATCATATACGGAGCTACTTATTTAGGTTCTATGTGCTATGGTGCACCTGTATGGGCCGATAGGGCGACCGTAGGCGCTGTCCGTCGCAAACTGTTACAAGGCCAACGACTTGCACTGATATTCTTGTGTAAGGCATATAGGACGGTTAGCACTGAGGCTTTGCCGGTGTTGGCGGGTGTGCTTCCGGTCGATCTCGAGGTGCAGAGACGTGCAGCCATGTACTATTCAAGACAACAAAACATGGAATGCGATTTTTTGGGCGCGCGGGATCGCGGTAAAATTACAAGATTGCTTCAACAGCAGCCCGATGTCTATAATGACCTCATAGACGAATGGCAACAACGCTGGGATGAATCATCCAAGGGGCGCCATCTTTACCAATTCTTTCCATCTGTTCGCGAACGGTTGTCGAGGATATGGCTTGAGGTGGATCACTGTGTCTCTCAATTTCTTACGGGTCATGGTAACTTTAAGAGCAAGCTTTATTCATTTAAATTAGTCGAGTCACCATTGTGTCAATGCTCAACACCTAACTCTCACTATGAACAGTCTGCTCATCATATCCTCTGGGAATGTATTCTTTGGTATAATGAACGTAATATAATGCTGAATAGCTTGCAGGTGACATCTGGGGCGGTATACTATGGGGATCTTGTGTCAACTAGGGTGAATTTCCGTGCGTTTAGGCGATTCTGCCATACATATTATAGAAATCAAACATAGTTCACGTAGGACCCGTAATATTTGTGGCCGTGGTGCTCCCCTGTTTAAAAGGGTGTATGCCCATTTTACTTCCTTTTGTCTCCCGCTTTGCTAAGAAGGGAAGTGGATTTACTGTATTTCCAACTCCTCCAATTTTCTTCTGATTAATTTCGTTGCGGGTTCCAAGACAGTTTAATTTCTTCCTGGGACTTCCCGAGTGTCATAACTCGGTGTGTTCGTGGGTCACTGCTGTGGATCCTGGTGTACAGGAGTTACAGTGGTGGGCGTGTGGGTGGGATTAGTCCCATGCCATTCCCTGATATCATGGGGTGCCAGAGTACCTGAGGCGGCAAGTGGCAGACTACTTTCATGAGGCAGCGCGCCTAGCCACCAGGGGATTCTCTCTGGTGGTCGGGCGTATTGAAGCGTTGGGCTTACGGGTGGCCCTTGATAAGACGGAGGCCATCTTGTTCCATGATCCTAACTCCTGGATGTAACTCCTGGGAGTAACTCCTGAATGCGAATTGCTAATCCTCAATCGCAATATAAAGCTCTCGCCGATTAGCGTATATACAACCTCCCAACATCAACCGTTGAGCCGCGGCCCGCCAGAGGATCCTCTTTTTGTGTTGGAGAGACATGACAACGGGTGTCATGTCTCTCCAACACAAAAACATCCTCCAAACATGATTTCAAATTAATGAAGCTTCTATATGAATTTTTGGACACATCCACAACCTTTTCATTGGCAAGCCTTTATAATATTAGGCCTTTACCTATGAAATTGCCTTTCTTCATCAACAGTCTTTAACAGTCCACTGCTGGACATAGGCCTCCCCTTAGAAAGGAGGTTTTGGCCTACTGTACCACGCTGGCCAGACGGGTTGGTATAGGGTTTGTGTCAAGTTTTCCTTCTCTTTGCAGTTTTGTTGTTCTGCGTAATTTGCTCCCTTAGTCGACTCTTACGACACCCACGGGATGAATGGGGGTGGTGACAATCCGTATTCTTAATCCGTCACCACACCACACCTTTCTTCAGTACTGGTCATTTCAAATAAAAAAAAGTTTGTAATGGCTCTGTATTCTAAATTCAAATTAATTTTGTTTTAAAACCATGACATTCTATTTACAAACAAAAACTTTTGTTTAGCGTTGTATTTTCACTACATTTGAACATTTTTCGTCATAATGGATACTTTAAAAATTCGTGTAATTATGGAATATGAGTTCCGTCGTGGCATTAACACGACACAAACGGCACGTAACATCAAAAACGTTTACGGAGAGAACTGTACAAACGAACGCACAACCCGTTATTGGTTTTCCCGGTTCCGTTTTGGAAATTTTGACTTGAAAAATGAAGCTCGTGGTCGTCCGGAGACTTTGGTTAACAATAATGAATTAAAGGCGATTGTGGAAGCTGACGAAACTCAATCTACAGCTGAGCTAGCAGCAGCTTTTAATGTAAGCATCAAAACAATATTGATCCATTTGCGACACATTGGCAAGGTAAAAAAGCTTGATAGATGGGTGCCCCACGACCTTAACGATCGCCAGCGCAACGTACGCGTCGAGACCTGCCTTGCGCTGCTCAACAGGCAAAGAAATGAAGGAATTTTGAAACGAATTGTTACGTGTGACGTAAAATGGATTCTGTTCGACAATCGAAAGCGCTCAGCAATTTGGTTAGACCCTGGTTCAGCACCAAAGCAATGCCCTAAACCAAAAATGACCCCTAAAAAGGTGATGGTCACTGTTCGGTGGTCTACTGCGGGTGTGATTCACCACCATTGATTTTTACAAAACGGCATGAGCATTAATGCAGATGTGTACTGTGAAGAACTGGAGAGAATGATGGAGAAGCTTGCACATCTGCAACCAGCTTTGGTCAATCGGTCGTCCCCACTGCTCCTTCACGACAACGCGCGACCCCATACTGCGCAACAGACAGTCTCCAAGCTGCAAGAGCTGGGGTTGGAAGCTCTCCCTCATCCGCTATACTCACCACACCTTGCACCTACCGACTATTACTTTTTCCAAAATTTAGACAACTTTTTAGTGGGTAAAAAATTCAATTCCCGAGAGGCAGTACAAAATGCCTTTGAAGAGTTTGTTGCCTCCCGTCCAGCTGATTTTTACAAGAAGGGCATCAATAAACTGCCAATGCGTTGGCAAAGATGCGTCGATTGCATGGGTGATTACTTCGAATAACAGAAATAAAAAAGTTTGATAAGATAAGTACTTTCACTTATTGCATACAAAACGCCAATTTCATAGGTAAAAACCTATTATAAATAATAGGCATTACAATTTTATTCAACTCAGTAATGTAATAAATGAATAATTATGAGTGTATTACACCTATAAATAACAGTATTACATTATTTTATCATGAAGTTTTTTTTTTAAAAACATCTTTAAACTTATAGTAACAGGAACAGCATGCAGGTAGATCCACCTTTAATGTCTCAGTACCACCTTTCTCGTCGTGAACAAGAACCTCCCACACACTGTACTTCTGCATACAAGTTGCCTCTAAGTCCATAGGACCTCTGAATTTAGTGAAACATGGGACGTCAACAGGTGCACTGAAAAATAAAATAATTTGTCAAAATGTATCTCATAGCCTTACCGACTTAGATCTTAGCTAAAACTATTAGAACACCGTTACTCTGTCACAAGTTTATATGTAATATAAGTACATACATTTTCATGATGTAACTTACAATACGCTTTGAGTACACGATAGACTGAGTATAAAAAATGGCTACAGCCCTAATATAAGCTTGTTACTTAAAAAAGACTTCAGTCGTAAAATAGCCTAAAGGCTTTTATAGGCTCATATGCTAAAAAGCGTATGAGCCTTTAAAAGCATTTAGCCTTTGAAAACAGTTGACGAGTCTTTTAAAGCCCTTTTTAATTAGCATAGCTTTATAAAAGGGCCCAATAGGCTTAAATTTAGGGCTATAGGCCTATGGTCCTCGGTAACACTACCGTCAATTGGTTACCCGTATTACCATAAAACTTTTTTGTGGGTAAAGCTATCACATTAGGTTTACCAAAGTTTTTATTCTTAGCAGCCATATACATCCACACTTATAATATAAACATGAAAGTGAGTTTGTTTGTTACACTTTCACGCCTAAACTACTTAAACGATTTAAAATATTAATTCACCAACGGATAGCTACACTTTGAGCGAGTAACATAATCTACTTTTTACTAGTATAGCAAAAACGCGCGGTGGACGAGTAACATAAAAAAATACTTGTAGTCGGAGCCGGCTAAAAGCTAAAAAGTTAGTACTATATATTTTTATTGTTTGTTGTTAGATATGATTTTATGATTTGTATAGGCTCCAAGATATGAACTCACTCTTCAGTATCTACTATACGATACATTATAATTATCCCGAACAGTGTTTTTTACTTTGTACTCTAAATACCTAGAAACTTTCGTTTCATCGCGATTTAATTTAAAAATATAAATAAATACTGAACTGAACTGAAATACTGGCTGAATAAATTAGATACTTACGCACAAACTTCTAATCGGATCAGCTGATTGAAGTTTTCTTGAGGAGCTTGGGCAACCATGCGCCATTTACTCAACGTATCGGGACGCACTTGGTATATAGGCTCGTACTGTGAAAAAAACAAACAAATTAAGTTTAAAACAAAAAATTAAGTCTAGTGAAGGTATTGGCATATAACCTCTTAAGTAGGAAATGATATGCATTTTGTTAGAAACTAATAATCTCTTTATTACCAAAAGTAGAGGTAAATGCGCCTCTGAAACTTGATATCATGTATTAATGTATTTTTGTTGAATAAATTACTTTCATGTTTCTTCTGACTGACTGACAAAGTATTGTAGGTGCTGAAGAAGAATTTTGAAAATTCTTCTTCAGCACCTACAATACTTTGCAAACACATTAACTAGAAGTCGGCGTGATCGTGAAGAGCATTATTTAGTGTTTGCAACCTTTTAGCGTTCCGTAACTTAAAAGGAAAAAAGTGGATTCCTTAAAGGATCACTTTGTTGGGCGTCTGTGTCTGTCTAGACCCTTTAGCTCTTGGACGCGTCGAGGTATCGAGTTGAAATTAAAACCATATACGACGTCTTCTTCGCTCGGGATCGGCCCTCTCCCGAGCCCGTTCAGCGGTCTCTTTCTGGAGCATTACAGCTTCACAGAAAGAGACCACTGCGCCCCAGCCCTCCTCACCCGCCAGCATGGCAGTAATGATTGCTGGCGGGGACAAGTCTCGTCCGAACTTCTCGTTGACCTATAACTATGAAATTTGGCAAGTAACATCGTCATATGCTACAAGTACAGGGAAAAATCATTTATTATACATTTGTGAATAAATCATAAAAATATAGTCTTTATTTAAAGTTTGTAATCAATCATCGAGGTACAATTTCTTTTATAAAACTCAAGAATATAAGCAATTATAGATTTTGGAAACTGAATTTCGGGCAAAGCTCGGAAAACACTGCGAGATGCGATTCTTGAACTATTTGTAATATGTAAAACAGAACCCTTTGTGGGCGAGTCCGACTCGCACTTAATTCGCACTCGATTTTTTTTGTCTATTTACCTACTTTATGAATAAGAAATCGACATAAATATTTATAGATGCTATAAATATTAGTGACACATTAAGTCCTGTTTAAGCAATAGATATATTGGTAGGCTACATAAACAAATAAAAGTAAACTTATATGTATAAAGATGAATATACTGCTCTGATAGTATACTCTGTTTTTTTTTCAGTTTATTCCCTAATGAAGTTTAAGGACTGCGTTTTCACGTTTGACTTTGATGCGTTGTATGTATACAAACCAGTGTAAAAATTTTCATTGTGCGATGCTATATCTGTAGAGTTGATTTTTGTTTCTAAAACATTGTAATAATATGATATATCGTCTACAACTTCATTATCATCATCATCAACAGCCTTCAGTAGTTTACTGCCGGCTTGGCTACTATACCATGCTGGCTTAGTTTTTTTAACCACTTTTGCATTTTTAGTCTTAATGATGAGTACTTTCTCATTAAGACTAAAAAAGTAACAAATTAAGAAGTCACATATTCTTTAGAACACGCCTAAAAGGAAAAGCAAAAGACGCCACCGTATTTTTAGGTATGGAAAAAGCCGTTAATCCTGAAGATATTGTTGAGGTTGGTCCTTACTAAGTGTGCGAAGTTTCAATTTAATTCGTGTGTATATAAAATGTTCCGTTACATACATATCTACCAAGATAATATAAGCGTGTTAAAAAGGAAATCCGATATTTTTTAAATAATAAGCAGAAAAAAAAACAATTCATTACAAAACTTGATAACATTTCTGTGTAATAAATTGTTTAAGACAAAATATTTACATATTTGCTGTTTTAATCACCCACGTTGATAACTATTTTGATCACTCTAACTATAATAGCCAGTACAAGGTTCGCTGTACATATTATACTTTGAAACTCGTTTTGAGTGATCAAGGTACTGCCTATTGTAACGGTGCCGCTTTATCATTTAACAACCTGGCAGGCAAACGCCATTAAACCTTGTGTATCTTTTTATGTAAGTTACAGTTCCCCCTATCTATCTGTAATTTAAGCCCATGTATGCGCGGAGGGGCGAGACGGTCCACGAACTGAGGAGGATGGTAAACTTTATACTGAAATATTCAAATCGAAAAAAATAATACTGCAAACAATTAATTGAAGACTTATTCAAATATTGAGTACGGTTTTTGTTTTTATATAATATTTGTGTATTTATGTAGTATAATATTTCCTATTATAGGATATCCCTATTGTTACTGCTGGGAGCTGGGGCTTACGAGGACTTACTAGGGAGACAAATATGGCATGTTTAAGATGTATAAAAATGGATGTCAGGTTTTCTTACAACCACCGATCTTACAAATTTTCTCATTTAAGTCGTATGATAAAAGATGTCTCATGGAGTTTGTTGAAGCTTCATTACACAGAGGTTACATAATTAAGTCATGTCATGTCTGACAGCGGTTGTCCTACGACTGAGACGATGTTGTTAAAATGATAAGGCATTACAATGAAGATTTATCTGTTCATTATTATGATCAAATTACTTTGGATCCTTTTGAACTCGATGCTGTTAATGATGTCAGGTCAGTTACTACTAGGAAATGTACAAATATTTACTAGTAATAACTAAAATTTACAACTACTTGCGATAAACCCGGCAGTTGTTAATTTTCAGTTGAAAAGTCCAGTTATAGGTAGGTTCTGTATATCTCAAAATAGTAGTTAAAAGCATAAATAAATAATACTTTATGTACACAGTAACAAGTTATATGAAACATGCTAAGAAGTTATAAAGAAAAAAGAATCAATTGAAAATGTTTACCTTAACTTTTGAAGCGCAGTTGTCGGCTTCTTCAGAGTCTCCAGCTCGAGAGTCTGTCAAGACGTAAGAGGGTCGAAATATCGGCTCCTATAAATTATGAAAATCATAGTTACTTTAACATAGTTGTATACATCCATTACATATATCTGGTTATGCACTTTGTATTTTAAAAAGTTCTTACCCAACTGTGTGGAGTGGAGCGGAAATGACATTAAATGTTTTAGTGCTATTTTAATCAATCTTATCTTAGTAAATAAAGATCTAATAAGGAGGTGACTATACAAGGCCTTTAAACTTACTTTATACTTTCCTCTAAAAATGTTGTTGAAAATTTCTTGAGGGTAATCGGGAGGTTTAATCGTGCAGAAGTTCTGACCCTCACACGGGTCAGTTTCATTCGGAGTCCCATATCGGTGCCCGAGATCTTGGACTGGTCCAGGAAAAACAATTTGTGAGTTTGATTTATCTGAAATTTGTAATATTTTTACACTTTGCAACCGAGAACTCAGAAGTTTTTGAAGACGTATTTAATTGGGTATTTCATTGTTTCACTAGAGAAAATACACAATAATTTGACAACCTATCTTAGCACATTACTTTATACCTTACAACTTGTGGTCATCGACCAGTAAAAAGCTATTCGTCATATAAAAAAAACAGGACTGTAAATATAGGGAAAACATTAAATATGGAAAAAGAAAGAAATTATACTGACCCAATAAATGTGTTTATCTTTATGTGAATGGAAACATTATGTTTTTCAAAATATAAGATATTGGATAAGCTAATTCAAGAGTATATAAAGAAAACATAGCTATATGAAAGAAACAAATTATTGTTATTAAAGAGTATAATCACTTTAAGAAAGAACAGTTTTTATTTGTTATTTGACCTGACAACAACTAATGCATGTATTATGTTATGCAAAAAGAACACAGAGAAGGATATAATATACAGTAGATAAATAAATTATTAAATTCAATCGTAGAGGTGAAGATCATTTCTATTTATATGTATGATATCCATTTAGATTTGTATTACGAAGTAATGTACATAAATATTATGTTTATTATTCATCTAGGTTAAGTAATGTAGCAATAAAACTGATTAGTGGGGTCGGATAACATACATTAAATTTAGTTTATTGATACCAAAATACCACTATTATGCTTACAATTTTTAACACATGACCATTGTTTATACTGTACTCATTTTGGGATTTTTATGTAGGTACTTATTACCCACATAATCAGTAACATACAAGTGTATCAGGTCCGCTTTAAAGGAGAGAGCCAATAAGTCATCATCATCATCATCATGAGCCTATCAAAGTCCACTGCTGGACATAGGCCTCTCCCATTGCACGCCACTTAGATCGATTAAGTCAATAAGTCATATGCTCATATAAATAAAAATTCTATATATTAATACGTGAAGCGAAAACTTTGTACCACTTTTTAAGAAAATTGTTAAAGATTATATGAAGAAGAAGTGCATGAAGCTTTTTTTTTTAAATATAAAATGTATTAGTAATTCATTATAGCCATGATAAAACCTTGGAATATAGAGGTATATAACCAAAGGTTTCATCATGGCAAAAGAACCCAATTAAAGTTCAAACTTAATAATTAAATGAATTATGATCGAATTTAAACCACTGGACGACCACTAGTAGATATAAATAAATACGAGTAGGTAGGTACAGATCGCTGTCCTTGATGCCACTTTTTATTAAAGTGTTTGTCCATGCTTTAATACTAAATTTAGTTACTTTTTTATGAAGATTGCTTACTTTGAGAAATTGTTTATTTAAAATTGACAGTTTGTTTGTTGTGTATTTAGTCAAATGGATGTAATACTAATAATACTTTTCTCAAGTGAAAAGATTTTCAATTTTTCAACTCTTTTATTGAGAGGCATTGAGGTACCTTGTTTACCAACAAAACAATAACGAATAGAACTTTTTTTCAGTTATTACTACATGAGTGATACATGAGCCTAGTCAGATAAAAATAAACTTTAGACGTAAATTTAAATAATTAATAATATAAATATAATAATAATATAATATCACATCTCACATACGGCCGTCTGATCACAAACTAGGGAGAGCTGCTGATAAACATATTTATGTATTTCTAAATACATACATATTATAGATAATTTACACCCAAAATAAATAAATACTTACCATTTTTAGTAACCGCCGCTCTTGTTAGTTGCAGGTTGCAAATTGTAATCTGAAAGTAAGATTGGTAAAGGATGTGATATTGCTGGAATAATGAGTTATTTTTTAAGTAAAATGTAACAAATTCTATAAGAATTGAGATTAATTATTTCGTTTATAAAGTGAGCAACGTGTAAAAAGTGAATACAAGGGGTAGCCAAAGCTGATGCTCAAAACAAAATATATATGTTCAGACATCGGCAAGATCCCAGAGCAGAAAAATGATTATTTCAAAGCAAATTGGGTTTACGCCAGGCCATTTTCGCATTTTGTCAACTCTTTGAGAAGGAGGTACACATGCGCATAGATGAAGTTTATAATCTAGAAAAGAAACGGGGAAACGGTATTGTAGGTTTTTTAAGTACGAGTATGTGGAATTGATTCGTGATATGTAGGTACAGAAAGCCGTCGCTGGTTGGTCGTTGGTAACATCAAACAATTTAATGCCCCTGTAGGCTTAAATCAGGGATCGACTCTTACTTCATATATTATTGATGATGGATACTCTGACATCGGACTTACAGGGGAGGGACCTGGTGCATACTGTTAGCAAACAACAATGTGTTCGTTGGTAGTGATGGCTGCGATATCCAGCGCAAATTGGAAAGTGAAAGACTGGAAAATGTTGACTTAAAAGTCAATAGAACCTATATATTCTGTGATTTTAGAAGTATCTATATAATTTTATTGAATACGAGTAGAACATAGCGACCATTTTCAGATCTTATAAGCTGGTACCTATGCATTAATAGGATCTCTTGTTGTATTTTTAATGTAAAGCGGTATCTATGGTTAAAGAATTGGTTAAACTCAAAGCACTCCCAAATTACTTTAGTAAAACCAATTGCTACCCTAAACATTACCCTGTTAATTAATCAATCCTGTACATTTTGCTGGTCGTTTATTCAGGTAACAAGTTGTACTATATATATGTAACTAGTATGTAAACTAATGCGGTGTAAGGCTAAATAGCAAAATCAAAAAAGAAAAGTAGTTCCATAAAACTGCATAATTGTTTCTCAAAGCAAGTCTGAAAGCTCCTGAGCAGTACACTTGAGAGAAAGCTAGAAAGTGAACATGATATTCTATCGTTGGGTCATGCGCAGCATAGCGTTCGTACTTAAGACAATTTTAGCTAAATAGTTTTTAATTTTAAATTTTTCTTTTTAATTTTCAGTACATTTTATAAATTGGTGGAGTAAACCCATTAAGCTGTCATACTTTTAATATTAACTTCATTTTCTGCATATACTGTTTCTGTAACTTTTTTTTTTAAGTTTATAGAAATGGATAAGCACTTTTCTCCAAGAAGAATCGGCACTTTTAAGGTTTTTTTGCGAACGGATATACCTTCTTGAATCGAAAAACTGTTGTCATAAGTACAGTCCCAAAATCTTTGACATATCTATGTATCGAAACTTCACACTAATGGACAAACGATAACCTGTCACTTAACGTGAAAGCAACGTTTTATACAGAGATTATTTTTCTTTGATTTCGAACTGTGTTTAAGCTATTTAAGAAATAGTTTTATTTACTTTAATAATTGAACTAAAACCTTGTGATAATTACCTTGTTTAATAAAGTTCAATTGCAAACCAAATCTAGTAATCATTAAGTAAATGAAATAATTAATCAGTCAATTAAATATGCAATTATTATCATAAACGTAACTTAACGTAGTTTTGCCACTGTGACTATGTAACTAAATTACAATCATTTTATAATACTTGGAGCAGGCATTTAAATAGTTATGACAGTATTGAATTAATTCTCAGTTAATCGATTGCACGAGCAGATTTTTTTTAATAGAGTTCTAGTAACCAAACGCGGTATTATCAGTCAGCATAGGATTTGAAGAAAATATTTTAATTAAAAGTTTTTTAATTACCGTTTGCGATCTTTTAATTCCTCTATGATATTTGGTTCTAGAAGTAATTCCTACAAACTATATTTTTAATGTTTGTTACCGCAGAACTCCGTCACTTACAAACCAATTCCGAAATCTCTCTGTAGAACAACATAATGTGTTTTTGTATCTGCTTAAATTCTCAAGAACTTAACTGAAGTTACTCTTACTACTCAGTTTTGAGTTGATAAACATACTTTGACATTGAATTAATTAGATTCTTGTAAAACTTAAATCGAAATAAAAAACTTCATTATCACCGGTCTAATTTCGAAATTTTAAGAAAAATACAACAGACAATGTTATATAAGACCATACAAAAAGAATTAGTGTAATCCAAGATCAATAGATTGAGTATACTAAATATTATTTGTTATATGTGAGACAAAACATCAATCATATATTTTGAACCTTGTCTCACATACTTAAGATCTTCATAATTTAGTAAGTCTAAATATTGAAGATCTTATAACTCATTTACTTATTCCTGTCTACACATGTCATAATAATACAACATCATTATTATACTTACAAAAACAAATAACGTTTTTACGAACATTATTAGCACAGTATGAATTCACCGTTAACTGATCTGTCCACTACGTCTGACACACCACAACTGAGGCGCGCCTCGATCTCAGTGGAAAATGTAACGTGCAAATTACTTATATAGAATGCAGCCTAAGGCCGAATAAAGTGTAATACTCACGTGCGAAATTCCGCGGCGGACTTGTTTGTTTAATACATTCAATAACTTTGTGTCGTTTATTATCGCCATCGCCGTTAACTCTATATTCAAAGTGTCATGTGCCAATTAATTTTATAAAATTAGCATAGATTTAAAGATAGACCATATTGTATTCCTAATTTTGGTTAATAAAAGACTATTATTATTATTTGTTTAAAAAAAAAGTCGTGGCCCTCATGGTGCCTACATCATAATTCCTCCAGTTTCATCCAACGTAATAATCTATACAAATAAATAAAATTGAAGTGTCTGTTTGTATTGTCAAAATTATAGGTTTTTTTCATGTGTTCATTTTTAACTGGTAAGTTAAATTTTTTTGACTGTCTGTCCGTTTGTTCCGGGTAATCTTCTAAACGGCTTGACTGATTTCGATAATATTTTACTACCAGGGAGCTGTCTACACAAAGAATAACTTCGTCTATTTTTCCTCTCAGAAAAGCAATTTAAAATTTTGCCCGGTCCGGGCATCGAACCCACTAAGTCAGCGCTTTTCAAATTCCACGCGAACGAAGTCGCGGGTACCAGCTAGTTTTAAATATTATTAATTATGTTGCTTTGTGCTGACTGCAGCACGTTTAGACCAACACCTCACCGAACTCAAGGTGGAATTAGGCCACATAAGCTAACACATGTTGAGATGACAGTTCTACTTGAGAGGGAGTGATCAGCTCTCCCGTTGAGGTCTCGGGCGTTGTCAGTCTCCTGGTCAACAAGAACATCATCAGCAGTATTATGAAAGTGACAAAAAACAACAAAACAATCAACAGTGTTTCGATCCAAGTGGCGTTCTTTATGGTGAATCTTCAAGTACAGTAATACGCCGACATGGATTTTGACAAAACCACTGATACCTTGTAGCAAGACATTGTCGAAGCAAAATACACCGTACCGTCAAGGCAACCCACAGGGTTGTCATGGGGGACTAGACTAAAAAAATGTCAAAGTGACAGCGCAAGAGTGCAATTCGGTGCCCTACGATGCTTAGGCATAACAGTCACTTTTCTGGTAAAAGCTGGTTAGGCACTTGTATCTTTTGAGTTGCGGGTGCCATGGGCGGTGTATAACAACTTGGGAATGGTGAAAAAAAGAAACTAAGGGCCCTAGAGATTCTCATACTTATAGAGCAGACGCGTTGGTTGTCTGCTACTACTCAATACTGTTGGTTAGATTGTTTAACTTCACAAACTGTTCGCTAGGAGGCGCCACAATGAGTAAAACACATACACACACACACTTGTGACTGTTTATTTACCACTGCCGTGGTTTAAAAAAATGCGACCGATTAAGCCATAATCAAAGAACAATATAAACATCTCACTGAAATCAAACCATAGCGCGATCTAAATTTATGCTACAACGCCATCTATCAGTGTAGGGGCAAAATTTTACTACATTGATTAAGAGTTGTTTGATTACAGTGAGCGTTCATTTGAATTTAAACAAGATAGAACTCTCTAAATTCAGAACTATAAATAGTAGAAAATTATTTCAATTTCGAGTTTTTTTTTTAAACAGACATCTTTTTGCTATTGAGCACCTGAAGGCAAGTAGGATTATATCTTCGTAGAACTAGAGTTTATTATTATTAGTCCATTGAACCGCTGTGTTGACTTTTCTGAACTACTAGAAAGCGTTCGACTCGTAGTTCGTACGTGTAGTATCGTGTTGATTGGCGATATATTGAGGTACTAAGAGACTTTTGCGGCAAAAGTTACGATGACCGTTTAGTTCCGAAATGATAGAACGAATCCCATAAGCTCGATATTTTACTGGAGGTGGTTATTTATATAATAATTAGTTGTGGCCGCTACGTACGTACGAGTGAATTTTGGATTAGGGATTTTGGATGACTAATAATTTGTATTTCGCTTATAGAAGCTCCGCTGCTATAAGTTATAAGTTCCGCTGCAAAGTGATTGCTTTAAACTGTGTCCCGTTGCATAGTTGCAGTATAACAATAAGCACATCGACTAGATTTAATACATGAAAAGCAAGCCCCGACGCAGATAACGAATTTATAAGTTATAGACTATAAAGATATAGATAATATTGATATCCTCTGTACTATTTAAAATGGTATTGTTTACTAAAAAAACTTTGGACATTACGGGTTGTCAAGACGCTCAGAGAGCCAAGAGTTATCCAAATTTGACACTCTCTGTAGTTCACTGTATACTGATGATGTTAGTTCTTCAGAAGAAGAAATCATCTGACATATGCGAAACGTATCATTACCGATTTCGAGTAACAATTTGAGAACTCTTGTGCATCAATAATATTGCCACCTATACGTGTGTTCATTCGTCGCATGTTAATGTTAAATACAATCACGTAATAGACCAGAATCTTGAACTTTTAAGGCATATTTTTCTTTATTACTTCATGCGCTCTTATGCCTCCACAAAATAAAATTCTGATAAGTCATTATTACAGTTACTAAAATCAGTATTATATTCGACTATGTGTAATATGTAAAGACTATAACTATATGTACCGTAAAATATGCATCAATCATAATCGGCACATTGCAGCTATTTACTGGTAAGTTACTCCCCTCTTCGTAATACATTACAGTACTAAATGAATCCATGGCAAATTCCTAAAAATATTTCCATTCTTATACCAAACACGCTGAAAATTACGACATCATGACGTTTCATTTAGGGAATTACGATAATTGACTCAGAAAACGTCAACGTGCGTCAGATAACGTTATAACCATAGTCACCGTGGAAGAATCAGCTCTTTTATGAAGAAATAACTGAACAAATAAGTAGTTAACTGTAAGACGAAACCATGCGCACGGGAGTTTGCGTACAAGTCTTCGAGCCCTAGTACCAGGAACCTACTTCAAGACTAGAAATAACGGTTTGAAACTTATACATTTTATAGGAGACCTACTAAATTCTAGGCCAATACCTTAAGATATATTATTTGTTTTAATCTTTTATCAAAAGATTAAAGTAAATATAATAAAAAAATATCTAAAACTATGTATATCTAAATGTAGCGGCAATTTCTTTGGCACGAAGATAAGAAAAGAAAACAAGATTTATTGTAAATTTATTGTTAAGTTCTAGAAGTTAACTATTTTTTTGTTGTGCAAGAGTCAAGTTTACAATAAACCCAATTATAACGAGAAAATATATTGCTTCTGTTAAAAGTTATCTCTAAAGAAATATTACCTATAGAAGGTTTCGTTTTGTCTTGATATCATCAGAGTCAAGCGGATGTGTGCAGACTGTAAGTCTGTCATAGAGCTAAGGTCATTATACTTGTGCCGTATCACGAACAGCAACACTTACATGTCATATCTATAATATTCACTTATATTAGACTACATTTGCACTTATTCGTTATTGTGACTGTATAATAACACTTCTGTGAATGTATATAATCTTTTTTAATTCCGATGTGTGAAACCTGATACCATGCCTTCGTAGGCGTTAAGATCTTGTTAATTGTATTGTTTTGTATTATTTTATTACGTTTTAATGGGAGAACTATTTATTACTCAGTTTTGTTACATTGTAGATACATCATTCCGTTTTGAACAAGCATCAGCTTGAACAGATATCCATTAAGTAAGCAGGTAGCCAGGTAAGCAGAGGCGTGTTAAAACGACCACATTTTGCGATGTATTAAAACAATAGTTTTAGACTCACTTAGGTACGTAATGGTAGTCCAGTCAATGAAAGCTTGACTTTGCCATTTTGAGTTGATTACCTGCAACCAACACGAAAATTTCCGTAAGGGTTCGTAGATTAATATACTAAAATTATAGGGTGCTGCATTGACGGCAAACGGTGCAAAAAAATTGCAAAATGGTTCAAAAACGAAATAGTTAATATTAATCTACGAACCCTTACGGAAATTTTCGCGTTAGTTAAGTACAGGTCATCAACTCAAAATGGCAAAGTTTAGTTATCATTCACTGGACTATAGTGGGGAAGCCTATTTTCGAGAACCTAGCACTTGAGGGAATAGATGGCTAGATTAGGATGGGCCTGTTGCTCTAGTGGTTCTTGACCGTGACTGCTAAATCGAAGTCGTGGGTTCAATTCCCACCCAGGACAAATAATTGTTTGATGAGCACGACCATTTGTTCTGTGTCTGGGTGTAATTTTACTATACTATGTACGTATGTAGAAATACATAATTATGATTATCAGCAGTCTGGTTACCATAGCACAGGCTGTGTGAAGTTAAGTTATAAGTTATTGTAAGGAAAGGTAGATAAGAAGGCAAGGAATAGTAGAACAATCACTTTTATTTATATTTGCAAGTACAACGTGTTACATAAAGGTGTGGTCATATTTTAGTCTTTTAATTGTACAATTTAAAGAATAAAACTGAAAATGCTTTTCTAGACGTTTCTTAACATCATCATTATCAACAGCCTCTAATAGTCTACTGCCGGACACAGGTATCTCCATACAAAGAAGGTTTTACAACGCTGGCCAGACGGGTTTTTCTTTCTCTCTGCAGTGCTGTTTATCCTGCGTACTTTGCTCGCTTAGTCGGCTCTTACGACATTAACGAAGTGAATAGGGGTGGTGACACTCTGTATTCTTAATTCGTCACCACGCGCACAGTTTCTTAACAGTTTTCAGATTTATTACAACAATTGAATATATTTAATTTCCAATGCAGTCTTTTTCAAAAACATTTGACATTTAATTTGTACTATTTCCATCCATTGTTAAAGTATTGTAAAATTACCTTATGCAATGTGATAAATACTGATTGCCAAATGGCGGAATATACCGGCACTAACTGTTTCTTCTATAACTAATATAACCATGTAAACA